AAGAAGAGACTACGAGGGCAGCGGCAGAGCAAAACGTCATCTTCGTCTTCACGTGATTCGACCAAAAACTAAGACTGGATATGAAGAAGAGAACGTCACGTCGAGTGGTGGGTCGCTAGTTGTCAACCGTTTCCTCATCACTCATCCGTTCGGGAACAATAGCGTGTAATAAACTGTACTGACAAGCTTTCAGTCACTGGCAGATCGGCTATTTATTAACGGATCACTGATCGTTGCCCAATCACGTACCAACAGCAAGGAAGGTGAAAGTCTGTTCCATCTCCGTAACAAGTCAACAGAGGTACTTGACGTATGGCATACAACAAAACGCATAATTACAGATGAAACAAGATTTAATCTTACGTGTGCATTTATTTTATGGTAAATAATGAACGCCAGGGGAGAAAGTGTCTTTTTCGAGCGAGATAGTAATCAGCTAAGGATTAGACATGGGGGCAGATTATGCGGATATATTGAATTCACACGGCATTGTCGCTTTCAGAATGCAATCCCTGAATTTTACCAAGCAGTAGAACAGGATACCAATGTCAAAGCTCCCAACATTGCTCGACCACTGCTCGAAAGGAATGTTGGGCCATAAGGCGAATGGATGAACACTCATTGGCATTTCGCTGACGGAACGGTGCCAGATGTCTGGTAAAAGAGTTCTATATCGTTGTAGTTGTATGACCTTATACCTTATGTAGGATATACACCTCATATGAAAGTGGTAAAAATGGGATCGCATTGAAATTCCAATTGAAGAATGATATTGTGATTTATCTCAGCAATGCAATGTGCATTTCTTGGTCTGTCATTGCAGCCAACCGAGTCCAAAGATGATGCATGAAACAGAGGTCTCTAAGGATGCGTCTTGTTACCGTAAACCGGTGAAACCTTCAGCGAGATTCACACGAACATTTTCACATATGGAAAGGTTGTTACCAAGCGTTTGCATGAAAATTTTCTTGACTGTCATAAACTAAACGTCGAGGTGAGCATCTGAACCTCTTCGCCTTAGGTCTTTTACTTGATCTGGCGTTAATCATGAATCAAAAACAAAAGTGTTTTTTCTCAAAAAACACTTTATTGTCAGTTAGAGACTTATTATGTACCTCATTGGCAACTGCGGCAGATGAGGAAGTCTGCATGACGGCCTTGAGGATAAGCTAATGACGTATTGGCAGCTGAAGCCGCCATAACTGCTCATGTTTCATTTTGAACATCAGTCTGTGCAAAAGAAAAATTTGTTAATGAGAAACACGATAAACAGAGCAAGAGGGACGTGACAGTCTGGGTGGTCATTGTAGAAGAAGCACTTTGAAACAAAATTGAACGGAAAATTCAGATTATGCTTGACAGACAAACTCAAAAATTGATAAATGGTAGAGCGAGTAAAAAGTAAAAGTAACTTTCGTGATGAGGCAGTTATCATAATTTTCGATTTCTGATTTACAAGGCTAGGAGTCATGAGTAAATTTTACTCGTTTCTCGAAGGATGATAAATTCAGGCGAGACTCGCCTTTTCAAAGAGAGGTTTAGAGTAGAAAGAAAACTGATTTATTAATGAGGTCAACTTTGGTCAGTTACTGATTACCAATATGACACGATAAATAATAAAATTCAATATATGACTAATGATGAACATACGCCCAGAGTTGAGTTCTAAATGTACTAAATAACTAAAGAGTATTTCTTGATAGCCAATGGCAAAAGCAGCTATGATCTAAGCAGCACTAATAAGTCAAACCATCATCGTGTCATCTTATACGTTTTTTGCTAACAGAATCGTGTTGAAATGGCGAGTAAATGAGAGGTAGGAATACAACTAAGCCTCAGTGACTCATCTACTCACGTGGGAACCACATTGTGAAGGTGCAAGGTCCGTGGTCCAACTGAGAAAATAAACTGAACAGGGATCGGTTGTTGATGAGATCTGCATTCGTCGTCGACCCAGCAGACATCTCGTAATGTGAAAGAGCAAAACACTGAGCCATTGAACACCCCTAACCGTAAGCAGCATGGAGTAATGCATGATGGCAAAAGACTACGGTGCCAAAGCAAACAAACAATTTGACGGACATTGTGTATTTTGGTAGGTCAGATGCATCGTTGTGCTTTAAAAAGAATCACTCGTTTTACAAAATTGGACACGTGGTCATTGAGAGGGGAGTGGTTTAGTATTCAGATTGTATTTGGAGAGGAATGGTTTGGTTCTGTACTAAGGTGAGGTCTAATACTTTCAAGTACGCTCACGGGTTGGAGATTGTGGAACAACTAAATACCCCAGCTAATGATGTCCTGCTTATGGAATAAAGCGAAATCTGATGAATAAGCAGTTAGGGACGGTATGATGACAGAGCTTGAGGATGCAGCGATACTACGGGAAGAGTTACCTGAAATAGCCGCATAATCAGATCACAGCAATGTGACGTTAAGAGCGCATGTCGCCATGAACCATAGATGCTGCGAGATCTAAGAATGTTGTAGTCGGTCATAACCTCCTTTACGTGAATTCCAGCATAATCCACGTCACTTCCGTCTTTTGCTTTTTTCCTGGGGGGAGCAATTTCTAGTCATGCCAGCCTCGAAACCTCAAATAAATTTTCTTAACTGATAATTCCCTTGAGTAGGAAATTCAAGCCATTTTGCTTCTATGCAATGGCAAGAGGAGAAACGGGCAGCAAGTCATTTACTTGCAAAGTACAGTAACCGAAACGTTGTTTTAGCATGGCCCAGAATGCACAAGAAATGCAGTCATTCTGTTTAGAGAGCCAGAGCTTCTTAGGGCCGAAATTCCCCTTGACATACCTGATAGTTGACTAACCAGTAGGAGGTGTTAACCATGCCTTTGTTCGGGGTCATTTCCGGAACGACCAATTTTAGGCACTCCGCTTAACAGTTCAATCATGGCTTCGAGCCGATGGCTTATAGCCCTTACAAAGAAACAGGTACTAACGATGATTTGGAACTTTTCTCCGTTATCACCTGTTTACACTGGCGCGCAAGCTATAGCAGTTTCGTTCAGAGAGCTGTTGATGGTTTCAGCTACTTGTTTCATTCTCATTGTTACTAACATGTTACTTAATTTTTTTTTGAATTATTATTTTGCTTTTATATGGAAACATAAGGCTCTCTGCAGATCACATCCAAACAGTGAATTTTCAGTTGAACTTCGGTTTCAGTAATAAAGCCACTGGTTGACATTTCAGAGGTTTCTTTGAGTGTTCAGAAGAGTTAAAAATTTCAGACTAGGTAGAATTAGAGAAACGACCGGTTGCTAAAGTGAAATCTAGAGGATAGCATCAATGGCAATGTCTGAGGACTGTGAATGGAAGTTGTCATATCAGAGAGATATGCTTGTAACTATGACCGCGTATTACTTAGACAGTGATGTTCTAAAAGATTTACCATGGTTGTGAAAGGGCATACCTCCTTACATACCTCCTCTTTTGATGGCAGCTCCTCCTTTAGATTAAATCTTTTCAGTTTAACCGGATTATGTCTCCATTACCTCAGTCGTGACCATTTCGACCTGCACGATTCACGCATTATTAATGACTAAATGTTGGTTAAAACAGACCACGACAACTTCTATCGCAAGAGGCAAAGAAAAAGCGTCTGCAGTAGCCCATTAAGCATTCCCTTTTTACGGCCATGAGGAAAATTAGTACAGCCAAAATTGAGTCAATTAAAGCGCAGTTACTGTTTGGCCGGTGCGGGCTTCAAAGACAATCGAAAACTGTAATGACGTCCTGCTGGTTTAAATGAAGGGCTAAAGATCTTTAAATCAACCTCCCAATTATCGCAGACTCATAGATTTACTCGTTTCCCACGTAATGCTTCGAACAGACGTGACGAATGCTCAAAACCGACTGACCGCAAACGAGATCTTCAAATTATACTGTCGTCTTTGCAGAAAGGCAGAACCCTGTGCGCAATGGATAAGGTCAGCGGCAGAAAGATTTTTTTTAGTTGTGATTTCGTTCCTTCGATGAGTATCACAGGCTGTTTTGTTATGCTTATTTTTAATAACTGATCAGTCGAACATATTATTCATTTTTTATTTTCCCACTTTTTCATCTAAACTTAATAATACAGACTTAGGCTTACGTGAATGCTACGTTCCGCAAGCCTGTACGTCAGACGAATTTCAGGTATGTGCATTTAGCCCATCCTCGTCCATTAATCACTTCCTATTCATATGCGTATTTACTGTACGCGTATGCGGTAGTATATTAGTATGATTTAAAGTTTATGCCTGCCAGTTTCATTAAAATGATGCGCAAACAAACAAGAAAATTAAATTTCAAAATCATTTTCAGTAACAGCATATCCGGGGGGGGGGAGGAAGACGCGGCAGTCAGTGTGCCCAGCGGTCTCGATCCGTGTCACTGGCTTAGTTTCGGCAGAAGATAATCTGAGTTTCGAACAGAGAACTCTTCCATACAAGTACCTCAGATCATTCTCTGCCGTCCCTTGGTTCCTCTGCCGGTGGGATGGGCAAGTAGTGGCTATTTTGTTTACCTTTTCGAAAGCTTTCGCTACAGGTGCCCAACTCATCACCGCTGCCACTTATCAATTTGAAGAAGCAACTGTTGTACAACAAAGCTTTCTTGGACAACTGAACTCCGGACTGTGTTCAGACACGTGAACCTGGCGATTCATCTCAGAAAGCCCATTTCCGCCGCTTGCACCCGGAATCGACGTTTCTCAGTCATGGCTCACGACTCCTGACCATATGCGAGTATCGGGATGAAAGTCGACTTGAACACAGAGATCTGAGTCTTCATTCTCAGCCCTGCTTCAGCCACTGCAGTCCATCCAGCAGATCGCCACTGGCTACTCCAATCCGTCTACCGATCTCTTCCTCAAATTTTTCATCACCAGCAAACACGATTTCGAGGTATTTGAACTTCTCCTCCCGTTCTGCTGCTTCTCGCTTTATCTACAAAACGCAATGGGCAGGAAAATGAAAAAGCACCAGGCTTTTCTTTTGAAACCGGCAGCACTCGGCTGCGAGCTTTTTCAGAGAGCGCTGAAGATCAGTTTAAGAAGAGGTCAGCAAAACGAGGTGGTCGGTACGCAACATCATTGTCGTCTCCGCATCTTCTTCGCTGATATATTCATTTTACTGGCTGCACCTTACCATTCAATCCATGTACAAGAGAGGCAGGAGAGGGAATTGAACGCAGTTTTGGCGGAGACCAACGCCAGCACTGAAAGGTGCCGATTTAATGTTTTATATTTTTGCACAACACAGTAAAAGCATGGTGACTGGATGGCTCATGGCAACTAACCATCGATCCCACATGTTTGCCTGCGTGCGCACAGCCTATTGGATCGCATCCTGTCATATGCCTTCTACAGGTCTACAAGGGGCATATAAACAGGATGAACGAACTCCCATGATTTCTCAACAGCAAAGATATTTTCAGACGTGCTTTTGTCTAACCTAAAGCCACACTGCTATTCTTGAATCTTAGAGCAAGTTGTTACGCGTAAGCTTTTTTCGGGAGGCTCCGTAGAGTAATGCCCTTATAAATGAAGCACTCACCGTGGTGTCCATTCTTGAACAGGGGTGCTAGAACCGCCGTTTTCCATTCAGCAGACCCCTTCCCCGTAACCATTGTAGTTTGACAGACACGTGCAAGTCAGAACATGCCTTGTTCGCCAAGTGCTTTGAGCATTTTAGGGCGGATTTCGAATATTCCATCAGCCGTGCCTTTTGAGCCTTACGCCTTTCACGACCTCATCAACTTTAAAAGTAATGTCCGCTGTCCGCTGCTGTTCAGGTGAGCCCTCCGGTATTTGCTCGATGTTACGGATTCCGTGAGAGTACCCTGCCCGTTACCGAAAAATATCCTGATACTCGGTAAGAGTGCGTCCAAACTTGTCCCTCGGGACTCTGAGAGCGCCCTTCGTTCCAACATAGAAGCTACGAATGGTCTGCCGGAGTATCTTGTTTTCCGTTTAAAAATTCGATTTAAGCACCTCACCGAACTTCCCCCTTTCGCTTTGCTCGCTGCTTTCTTTGCCATCTTGCGCAGAACTTTCAACTGAATTCACTTTTGAGGCTCTTTGTTTCTAAGCACCCTCTTAAATACAGCCTTTTCGATGGTAGAGAGTTGAACCTGTTGTGTCCACCAGGAAGTTCAGGGCGGTAGGCCAACGTGGTTTAAACCACAGCGTTCAGCGGTAGCCTGAAGTAAGCCGCTTTTGAAGAGGTTTCACGCATTTTTCACATCAGCAGTCATCACTGAAATATGTTCAAAACGTCGTGCGATGCTGTTCACCGGTTTTGTTTTCGCATTCATCAAAAATAAAGCTTCTATTTAATACTATCATTGCTTCTGCCGCCAGGTCTTCGCATGGTACTCCACCATTTATGGCTAAGCGGGTTCCAGAAATAGAATGATGATCAGTTGATAGCATTGCGCCTGTCTTGACATAGGCACCTATTATAGAGTACCGTAAGTCAAATAATATAATTATGCTATTATTATTATTATTACTATCGATCATCGACTGCTATGCATAAGCTTCCCAGTACCAGGTGTGCTGATGCACTCTTCGATGCTCGAAGA